ATCAACAGACAAAGCAAGATAGTTTCATGTGATAATAGCCAATAAAAATACTAGTGTTGGCATAATGAGCTTTAACATTCTTTGAATAAACCCACACTAAAAGTACTAATTATAAAGTTGGCAGTGTTTCTGGTTGACAGCAAAAATAAACTGACCAATTTAAAATTTTATTTGATTGTTGTTGACATTGTTCTCAAGACCATTTCCACCCAAAGACTCCCATTTCATCTGAAATATCAACGAAAAACATAAAATATTTGCCAAAGAACCCACTGGATCCGGTCGTGACGAAACCAGCAGAGAACTGGAGGAACTCTTATTGATCGCTGGTGTTGGCTAGGATCTTGGAAAAATGCCAACAATATCCAACCAATTTTTGTGGTCTGAACATAAAGAATGTTCGTCTTGATTAAACGGATCAAACGAATCTGAGTTCGCAAAATTCTAAACACAGATCAACGAGATATCATTGCCTCACGAACCGTCCGGCATTTTGCGATTTTTCATGCGTCGACTTTGGATACTAATAACTCCATTATAGGGTGGCTATAGATCGCAAAGATCTGATCATGTGTTCCAGAGATATGGGCGTTCAACAATACCGTATAGACCCGGTGCGAGACCAAACCGAAACCAGTTGAAACTTGCAACACCACCAACGAAATGAAGAAACTAGACACCCACCGATAAATAAAAAGAAACGCCAAATACTCACACTCAAGAAACTCTGTACGAAACCGGTCGCGTAAGCTGTTGTTAGGAGTTTGGCCGCCATTTTCGTTTCGCTGAAGTTGCGAATTTCTCCAGGTTGCGATCAGTTTCCAATTTGATTTCACGTTGGTGGTGTTGTTAGTGAGTATTCGGCGCTTCTTTTCATTGGTGAGGGTCCCAGCTGGAATTTGCTGGGCCAAACTACAAAATAAAAAACATTTGATTGTTTTTGTTTTGATAGCGATGATGTTATGCAGAATTCAGCCTATCATTGAATGTGCGGCAGATATAGGTCATGTGTTTTAAGTCAATCCGGATAAAGATTATCCGAGTTGACTTAATCCTTAATCCACTACCTTGCTTTAGTGTTCCCCGAATTCGGTGTAGACACGTATACATATTCATGTATTACCTAAATTAACGTTAACGTTAACGTTAATAAATAACGATAACGATAACGAAACAGTTGTATCATACATACAGTATATGTTAGGACAAAATGTCGACTACATTTCAAGAGTCTTCTCGATCCCGTGAACATTCTCCGCCATCATCTGAAGTTTCTGATACGGAAAAGCCAACAAAGCGTTCAAGAAAAGATAAAGGCAAAGCCCAAGTTAATTCTCGACGTAAAACTCTTACATTTCAAGAAAAGCTAGATATATGTATTGATAAGAAAAGAAATAAGTTAAAAAATACAGATATCGTTAGAAAATATAATTTATCTCCTTCTACGGTTAGTGATATCATTCGAGGAGAAGAAAAATGGAGAAAGTTAGTTTTTAGTGATGGATTAGAAGAAGCAAAACGAGGACCTAAAAGTTACTTTCCAGAAATAGAAGAAGGTGTTTCTATGTGGTGTGAACAGGCAATATTAGATGGGGTTACGTTTAATGGAACGATTTTACAAAATAAAGCAAAAAAAATAGCGGACCTTTTAGAAATCGATGAATCAAAATTTTCTGCAACATCTGATGGATGGCTTCGTCGTTTCAAAGAAAGAAATAACTTGCATGTATACAAACGAAAAGCGGATTTAGACAGCATTGATTATGCACAAATTCCTGTACACCGTGAAGAACTTCAAAAGCTTCTTCAAGAATATGATTCAAATAATATTTTCAATTGTGATGAGACCGCGTTATATTGGAAATTGGAACCTTCTCATACTCTTGCGCACAATCCTATTTTGGGAAAGAAAAAACCAAAAGGTCGAATTACATTAATGTTGACGTGTAATGTTACTGGTACAGAAAAATTACCTTTGCTATTTATTCACAAAAGTGAAAATCCACGTCCTCTTAAAGGAATTGAAAAATCAAGTTTACCAGTTTGGTATTACTGGAATGCAAAAGCATGGATGATGCAATCAGTATTTGGTCACTATCTTCGACGTTTGGATAATATGATGAGAAAGGCAAACCGAAAAATCATTTTATTGGCCGACAATGCTACATCTCACAAAACAGAAGCTATTATCAAAAAATTAACTAATGTTAAAGTTCATTTTTTGCCTCCCAACACGACCTCTGTTCTGCAACCACTTGATCAAGGAATTATCTATAATTTAAAGGTATATTTTACTTTCTTTTTGTTGATAAACTTATTTATGACATTGTTTTTAATATCTTTAATTTCTTTTAGGCTCATTATAGATCAATTTTATGCGAAAATCGAATCGAAGAATATGACGCCCTCCGATCCCGTCTTAGCCAGCAGCAATATTTAAAGCCAACCCCTATGGATTCTTTACCTGCATTAACCATATTGGATGCAATTAACTTTTCCAGTAAGGCATGGAATCGAGTAACACAAACTACAATTCAATCCTCTTGGATGAAAGCTAAAATTTTGCCAGCAACAATTAATCTTGAAATGGCAACGATAAATGAAGAAAATACAGAATTTGAGATAACGACTTTAATTAATAAGTTACCTATTGAAGATGAAAATATCAGTGTTCATGATTTTATTGATTTTGAATCAGTGACGATGAGTAATAATAATGATATTGAAGATGAAGAATTTAGTTTAAAGGAAATAGTATCAGCAATTAGAGGAGAGGATATTAATGAAGAGGAAGAGGAAAGAGTTATTTCAGAAAAAAAAGTGACAAGTTCTCGGACTATTTTGGGTTTGGATGATTTTGTTTTATTTTGTCACCAAGAAGATCTTGGTGTTGATGCTCAATTTTATGATCAATTGAAATGGTTGCGCAACCGTATTGTAGAAAAGAGTATTGTGATGAAAAAAAAATACGTTTAGGTGATTATTTTAATTTAGAAGATATTGATAATGATAATAGTGCATATAATTATAAATGATGTTTTATACACATAGTGGTATCGATAATTTTTTATATTCTTTCTGTAAAATGATGATGTTATGTTTCTATTTTCGCTCAATATAGAAATGTTTATCTAACGCTAAATAATAAAAGAAATTTTTTCAACTTTAATTATAAATTTATCAACAATATCGATATGAATAAATGGTAGTCAATCAACAACCAAATAATTGTTGTGCCTTCCAACGTGACAATGGAATTTGGTTTGTACGTGAAATTCTTCAATTAATAGTTTTAGAAAGACATCAAAATTTTATTTCATTCAAGGACAAATTGCAACTGGTAGTACAATGATAGGATATTATGCACCAAAAAATACAGAAGATGTATCAGATTGGATTACTTTATTACCTGGTTACTCGATATATACAGCAGCTGCAAGAAATGATTGAAATTATCTATTGGATTAGGAAAAAATAATGCATTAATTTTTGAATGGGCAATTTATGAAAATGAAACATTTCAAAAGTGCATACATACTGGTTCAGATTATTCTTTATTTAAATCTTTAAAAATCGAAGTATCTCTTGGCTATTATTATTTCTCGTTACAGGTAACATACCATTTTTACGTGCCAAAATTCATGAAAAATATCAACACTTATATCAATATTATTACAATATCACGAAAGCTTTCAAAAAGAAATTACACTGAAAAAAGCATTACATAGAGAATCTCAACAAATTGATCAGCTTCTTTAACATAAAAAATCTTATATACAAAATAATATTATCCTTGAAACCAAAGGAAAGCAACTCTCATTCAAAGAAATTCAAGCCTTAATGGTAAAATATAACAAACTTAAGACTGAAAAATATAAACAAAATCGCAATATATCTCAATTACAAGATAAAATTAATCAGTAAAACACTTATCAAAAACAAAAATCACAAGATAATAACATTATTGAAGAACGTGTAAATCAATCTATCAAAGACTGTTAACTTGATTCTACAATTTTAATCAATACAAAACAGTATTTGACTTTAGTTCTTTCTCAAAATTGTCCCAATTATCTTCAAACTAATACAAATGGACAATTACCAAATCAGGACTTACCGTAAAATGTTCTTTAAATACAAGGATTGTAAATCACACACAATCTATACTAATGAAGCAAAAGAAATGAATTATACTTCAGCTTATGCAGTTTCTGGATTGGTCAGAGGAATTACTTATAATGCTCTTCAAAATATTTTGATTTCTTTCGGTATAACCTCATAAATATGTAAAAAAACATATAATACATTATATCAAAGTAAACTTATTCCTCAGATTACAAATAGTGCCAAGAAATCAACAGCATTGGCATTAAAATAATGTATTGAATTTGTTAATCTTTTTAAAGATCCAGAATTCAATACATTTGATCAATACAAAAATGATGATGATTCTGATTTCCGAATAGTAAAGAGATTTCCTATTGATTTAATGTGCCATGGAGTCATTGCAGAAATGCCAATCAAGGAAGTGGAGAATTTATTTTTCAATCCTTAATTCCAGGTATTATTTATTTATATTGTTTTATTTTTTTAAAAATTATAAAAACTAATAACATATGTATATTAACATAAACCTATCATAGTATTTCATGTTACTCAAAAATCACGAATTATCAAGAATACTAAAACTAGTGAAAAAAACACTGTTTATAGAAAATTTTAATGACAGTTCACGACAAATGGAATATGCTATACTAATAGCTAACTTGAATACAATTACTAATATATTACATACAAATAAAATGTTATTAGATGTATGTCTTGACGGAGAACTGGATTCTAATAAGACACTTGGTCATGTGCCAATTGTTAATCGCATATATGCTGATCTCAAATATGTAAGCAAAAATATTCGAAAAAAGATGGGTAAGTATTTATATATTTCATATAATTACAATAATTATTACTAATAATTAAATAATATAAATTTATAAATTATAGAAACAAAAAATACTATCATTTCATCAATTCAAAAATCATGTTATGATATGATTCAATATTTATACCTTTGCAATAGAACTTTATTTAAAGATTCTAAAAAGAAAATACCAACCGAAGAAGATTTAAGAGAAATACAAGTGGAAGGTCTAATTAAACATTTGCAAAATGAGCATAATAATTGTTGGTCTGAAGTTTGTTGGTTTAAAAATAATACAAATTTAACATTACAAGTTCCAAATTTGATTGGTTATTCATTTAACCAAATTCAAGCATTTCGGGAAATATTATTATCAATTTGTCATTTACCAATTGGACAAGGATTAGTTACAACTCAGTGATTTTCACAAAATGAAGCATTTAATCGAATAAAGCTAGTTTATCTTGCATGTCATGAACTTGCAATATTACACAACAATGAAGGATATATAACTGTGATGGCAGAAACTCGTGTATTTTCAGAAAATATGGATTTTTCTGAAGAGAATTACTATATTAGTCTAATAGAAAATGAAAGATATAATCAACAAGCAATGAATGTTAAAAAATTCATGAGTGAAATATTCAAAGAGCTACCAAATATATAGTAAATCGTGAAGAATTAGCAGGATTTGATTTTAATCAGGCAAGTGATATTATATTAATTATATATTATATAATTTTACATTAACAATAATATTATTAAATATATAATTTTTTTAGGAGTTAGTTTTATATAAAATAAAAGGTCAAAAACGTATTAGATCTAATAGTTTTTATCCATATTTTGCATTACAAATATCGAACTTTGAATCACTTACCAGATGTCTGGGTTGTCAAGCTTTTCCAAAATATA